ACAACAACTCAATGAACATCAAAATCGAACGTGGAAGTAGTGACTAGATTTATTAGGATCGCGGGATTATTACAGAAGAAAATCGCAAAAACGATAGCGATAAAATATAGCTCTGAAAAATCCATTGCCTGCGTTGAATATCTAACTGCAGTAGTTTTGAATATTAACCAAGCATGGTTTGAGTTTTAAGGAGGACGTGAGTTGTAGTCCTGTGGTCACTTAGACCTATAAGAGATCTCCCTAAAAACCGCTTTTATGTTTCTTTGTAGATAACCGTTCAACTATTTCTATTTTATTTTTAAAGAAAAGGCAAAAATGGCGTWRGAGTAATGTGTCTGTGGCGGACATTAAAAATTGCGAGGACTAAAATTCCCATTTTGTAGCATTTAATGGCGTCGCTGCACATTGCCTAGTCTTTTTATAATTATAAAAGTTGTCACTGATCAGCCAAACGCCTTCTTTACTTTACCAAAAGATAGGACGTATATTTGAACAAACATGCATCGTGAMAAAATTGGATCTCGAAACTAGAGTATTGTAATTTACACTTTCATATATTATTCTGTAATAAGATCTCTGAAACTTTCTGTTAACATCCCGTTCATTCTCAGTATAATTTTTTCACATAATACAATGTGAATCTACCGAATCTACCTATCGAATACGATTTTGTTATGTGCGACATAATATTTCAGTGAACCATACGCCTTTGCGCACTTTGTACATGACTACAACTCAATTTTTGTTTTTTAACGCTCACTCGTGAGAGATCTTTTCAACACTCGAAGATAAAATCCGTATCTCCGCGCGCCCATGTAATATCCTCTATATCAATGGGATGTGGTCGAGTATAAATCCATGACGCGTATGATTTGTCGTACACCTCCGCTGTCTCTATGCTGACCTCATTACATAGCGTAACCTCTGCGTCACGTCGTGGGCTTCAAGTATGATGAACACAATTTCTACATGTGTACTTAGTTCGTAGGCGAGATGAAGCAATACGATAAAGGACGCAGATGGTTCACCTGGCAGTCACAATGTCTCACGTTTGGTTAATTGCATCTCTGGAGGTCACGAAGTCTAGTGGGACGGTTAAAAATTAGTCATAGAGTCATTTTCATCCGTCTGTGAAACACTTACTACTAGTCAGTGTTTAATAGTAATTATTAGGGTGTAGTATGCTACCAAAAGGAAAAATCTAAGCCGTTTTTGCCTAATTTGTTTGTCGCATGTAATAAATTAAGCTATTTGGAGCTAATAGGGGGTAGTAGTATTTTAATAGTGCAATTTCCTATTTCACAGACGGATGAAAATGACTTTATAGTAATTAATTTCTGTTAGGTAGGAGGATTAACAGTTTGTAATTTGGTCCGGCATTTTTGTCACAATGATACGGGGGTGTGTATCTATTTACTTGATAAGAATAGTCTTGGGGGGACTTTTATAGGGGGAAGGGGGGCACTCCCTCATAAGAAGTGGGGGTTTCTCGTCTGAAAATGACCTCTGATCTAAGAGGGATGCCTGGCGCAAATTGAGATGCAATAAACGTGGAAGCGTTGAAATGACACCCCAAGGGAGAAAAATAAATAACCAGTGCGGTTTTGTGGTGACGGTTTCTTAATTTTATTCATGCTTTGAAACTTGAATCAAATGCCGTCTGCTCTTAGCCGGAATTGATGATTTTGCATTGCCGGTTTATGGACTATTTAAGGGTCGAGAAAACTGCCATTTTCGGGAATTCTCATCCTCGGCTAAGATGTGACAAAACCATTGTCATTACATGAACACTCATCATTGGTTACGCTGAGAAATATAGCGTTGATGCCGATGCCGATGCCGTAAATGCAACTTGCAATAACGGCCAAAACCCATTGAAACGTTAAAGCAAATTTCCGTGCGAATCATAGCTTTATATTCTCAAAATTCATTGTACATTTCAAATTAACAGTCAATGCTGGTGTTGGTACAATGTTGGTAAATAAACAATCAAGTAACCGGGCCCGTAGGCTGCTTGACTTACAAACGTTTTTTTATAATTCGGACCTAAATTAAATGTTTAACTAAATTAGTTCAATGCAATAGGTATAGTGTGTAAGAACTGGCTGCTAGTATGAGCATTTCATAATAAAATACAGATATGACAAAAGCTAGAATTTTACTGATATAACAATAAAAAAAGAAACACCGGACTTCTTCAGCTTGTGGGGTGGGGGTCGTCCGAACCTCCCGAATCACCACAGACTACGGGCCTGGTTTTTGGCAAAATATTAGAAATTACTAAAAACTCGTAATATTCGTAATATAAACTTATTCATTGGTTAAAGACCAGTTATAGGTGTTGTTCCCCATTGTTTTCATTCGCTGTCTGCTGGTCAATTACTAACACTTAGTCATATCATTGCTTGGGTCATAAGTGGTTTAGATATATAACCATATGAAAGGCAAGGAAAAACACAAAGTAGATAACGAGACGTTTTGATCTCGACCTACCATATTAAACTGATGTCTTGAATAAGTTACCTTCTAAAATGACATCTTCTTGATTAGAWATAATTGTAAAACATAAAAAGTTTCTTGAAATGTAAATGGATTTCATATGGCGAGGTGAGAATGCACGACCGAATTGCATTTTGGTTATTCAATATTGACAGACGAAAGTCTGCCGATTGCATCTGCTACACCAAAGTTCTTCATAAAAATGGGTTTACRTTAAATGGATGAGTGGATCTTCATCAATATTAAATATMCATACCCTTTTAGTCGAAAACAGTCATTTATTCATCAGCACTCTGTCTGGTTTTATAAAAGGTACGATCTTGGTTAATTAAAAAGCTTACATTTATTTGCCTGGTACTCAAAACAAAGAAACGATAAAGTTAAAAGACAAACAAAGAATAAAGAAATGAAAAACTAAGCAATCAAATAATGAATCTTATCAAAAAAGATGAAAAGAAACCGGCTTTTAATGTGACAACTGTTGGGATCAAATTATATTGCAAATATAAAGTTACTATCGGTCCAGTCTTTCCGTCGATTTCATCCTAAAATTACAATCTCCGACGAATAAAGAGTTTTTAAGACAAAATGTTTCTTATTGCTCTTAAGAGAAATTGTTTTGAAAAAGGATGATCGCTCTTTTTAACCCAGTAATCATTAACTGCTGTTCAATGACTATACTATAAAATATCCGATCAACTAAAACCGCGGAAGTGCATAGGACGGATAAYTTGCTCCATCGATCTATTAGTGAAACTGAAATTTGATGAGCAACTTTATTCGTCGATTGTCTTCAATCCGACAGATTTTCCTATTAAGATGAGGAATTAAGCGGGCGTATTTATGGCGCCAGTTGGCTCAGCGTGATGCGCAAATCAAATACCTGTTATATTTTACTGATTATGCATGTATGTAAAGMCTTCGATTGCTCTTTTTCGTCAGTAGCGGTCGTGACGTCATATCGTCGACGCCCACAGCATAGAGACCTTTGCAAACAACCATAAAAGCCACTGAGAGAAAGCTGTGTCAYCTTAGTTCATCAATCTCAAGTTGCGGAAACTTGTACTGGTTTCGGGCTATCGCTTCGAAATGGAGATTTTTACCAACTGCACTCTGAATGGAACTACGGCCAACTGCTCTTTGCGGCTGAACAATGGTATACCTTCAGCTGTGTCAGGGAAATCGTCGACGTTCAAGATTRTAAAAATAACTGCATATGTTGGAGTCTCGTTGATAGCTCTACTTGGCAATGTGCTCGTCATTTTAATCATTTGTCGCAACAAAATGTTAAGAAAGACTATTAACCTGTTTATTTTGAACATGGCTATTTCAGATCTTTCCGTACCGTTTATATTTGTACCAATGAGGGTTTACTCACTTTATGTGGACGCAATGATAACAAACACTGCGTGGCCTTTTCGCGGAGGTTTCGCTGGRGACTTTCTCTGTAAAGCTGCGATGTTTTTGGTGGATTCTTCTCCTGTGATATCCATTTTAAGCCTGGTTCTCATGGCTGCCGATCGCTTCTATGCAGTGGTCTTCCCGCTGAAAGCRCCGCGCGTCCGGTTTAAGACCCGAGTGCTGTTGCTTGTCTCTTCTTGGGYCATTGCGTTTATATCTTTTGCGCCTTATTTCTATGTTTTTGCAGTAAGGAATGGTTTTGGACAACCTACGTGTAGTTTGGTCTGGCCGGATAACCACCCAACGCGTATGCAGATTTATAGTACGATTCTTTGTACCGTATTCACGTTAATTCCTTTCATCTTACTTTCTGTGATGTACTCTATTATGYTACTCATTCTAAGRAAGCAAAAGATTGCACAAAACTACGCAAGGAACACAAGAAGGCAGCGCAACAACAGGAATATTGTGTTCATGGCGTTAGCTATTGTGGTTGTGTTTGCAGCTTGCTGGGGACCGTACAATGGATTTGTGTTTATTGCAACATTTGTATGGAAATGGAAAATGCCTTCCAATCTGCAAATCAACGTTGAAACTTTCTTTTTCACTGTGTTTTTCCTGGCAACATGCAATGCTGCACTTAATCCTTGTATTTATTTCATTTTCATTCAAAAATATCGTTCTGCTCTTAAAAGACTCCTTTGCGGTGGTGATGCCCCTAGTTTTAGCCCAAAAAATACTTATTCTGACCATGAGACGCAAAACTGCCATGCAAAGAAACATTTACTTGCCGGAATTAAGAACGGCCCGGCCTCAGCCTCTTCAGACAARGCGAACTCGATTGTTTAATGAACACAWATAAAACGATTATCATGACTAAGATGTGCCATGGAGACTACTAAACCTATCAGAAACTGGCTCAGTTTGTCTGACAACATTGACTTGAAAACTGATGATTCGAAATACTATAACATAGAAAGCAAACCTTAATTTTTTTGGGTATATTCTTAGACTTAGAGTATTCAGCATTTACTGACGTTATCTATAGTGTTTGTTAGGAAAGATGCTTCAAGGCAAACGGCGGCGACATTTATAGTAGCTAGTGATGGACATAAAATGATAACATAAAATTGCACTCGCCGCTCGTCAGTCAGTTGTTGAACATTATGTATCATATACATGTGATAGTAATAAAAGCTTTAGCCGGTTATAAGATAACTGTCCAGGGAGTTTTTCCATTGATTAATTATGTAGACTAAGCAAATTCAAATGTCACTTTTCTCGTCGCAACGTTTGAAAAAATTTTTTTGCAGTGCAGTAAATCTTATGGAAAAGGAAGTTGCATGATGAATACCCTTTTTTCGTAGCGGGAAGTGCTTTTTAATTCCTTCTCAACTACTCGGCGCGGTAGGGGTTAAAACTGTCATTCTATAAAACATTGTGTGTTATCCATCTCAACCTGTTAAATTGAAAGAACATTTACAACACAAGCTGAAAATAAACTCAAGTTTGTGTGAGACAATTGTTGTTCGCATTGATCATGATATCCTTGGCGTGTGTTTTGTTAATTCACTGCAAAAGATATGAACAATTGTTGGATAAGTAGGAGTAAAGATAATTAAGTCTTAAACATCTGCTCAAAGAGTCCAACAGATTCTAATCTTTTTAGTAGAGTTACTCGGTTTAGATAGATACAGTAGAACCGATAAGCCCTGAAATGTAATAATCAAAA